TAGATAGATAGATAGATAGATAGATAGATAGATAGATAGATAGATAGATAGATAGACAGACAGACAGACAGACAGACAGACAGACAGACACAGACAGACAGACAGACCGACCTTGGCTTTTCTACAATAAATTACTTATCAGAAGTTCCTGGATACTTTTGTGCCTGTTTTATTTGTTTTGGATACTTTTGTGCCTGTTTTATTTGTTTTGGCCCAGCCTTGGATGGGAGAAGCCTAACTTGTTGGAATACCCATAGTAGAGAAAGTTGTGTCAGAGAATGAATGTTTTTGAAAATCTATGACAAACATTTGGGTAGATCTTCATTTGCATTTAGGATGGGAATCTTATATTTCTTCTTCTTTTGTACATCTCCATTCTGCAACATTCAGGGGTTTTTTTCCTATTATTTTCTGATGATCCTACCTTCTGTTGCAAAGTTTCTTGCTCCTGCCACTTTTATTGCCTTTTCTAAGTCAGATCCAAAGGTTACAAAAAGCTGGAAACATGAGGAGATTTCCAGAGAACGGATGGTAAACAAGTGTTAGGAGGGGAAGTAGAAAAAATTGACAATGTTGATGTCTGTGTATTTAGAATCTTAAGCAAAATGTGGGAGCAGGTAGCAGCATTTATATTAGGCTCTGCTAGGATAGTTTCTGCTTGCTTTTAGGAGCCTCCCAAGGGATGCTAAGAGGAAGAGAAAAATATACAATGGTAGATTCCCTATTTTTAAAATACGGAGTGGTAGTATAGTTCGCATGGATACCTGCATTGACATCAGGTCAAAGACTTGTAGCTTTATTTTTTTTTACTGTTTCCCACCCAATGGAATGTTGAAAATAAATTATGCAAAGAGCGCCAGGACTCTGTCCATCTGGTTGCTCATCAGCAGGAAAACTCTCCCAAGCCTAGACAGAATGGGACCAAATCTGGTGTGGCAGGACAAGCCAACAGAAGAAAGTTTGAGGTTGAAAATGGGCTGGATCCAATCAGGGTCTGAGGAGAAAAGAAATTCAGAAGAAAAATTCCCAATGCATCCCTATGGGAGAGGCATTTGGGGAGCAGCTTCATTCTTAAACACCTTCCCTCCTGGTCATGAAACCCAGAATAGAGCTTCTCTTAAGGGATTGGAAAGAATTCCAGAAGCCATGCTCTGCAAGCTTTTCCTACCTTGTTTAGAATTTCTAATTTATTGTAAAGGTAGCCAGCCTGCTACAAAACAGCACCAAACTCCAGCATAATTTTCAATTACAAGAATAGGCTGCCCATAGGCTCCCTTACTATTCTTAGAAAATAAGCATGGTGGGTGACTAACACCCGGTGCTGTGTTTGGTTCTGAAAAAATATATAAAGTAAGCTGGGGTGTTAGAAAGCATTTTGTGGGAAGATCAGCCAGATGGGATACTGAGAAGTAAAACCTCAGCAGTTTGCCTTTTGGCAGATGTCTGTTTTGTGATTGCCCATGGCCACTGTGGCATGCATTTTTGGAATGCGCAAATCCCTCCCCCGCCCATCCAATGATAGCTAATTTAGGAAAGTGCTTTATCCTCAAAATCCAAATGTGTCCACAGCAGCCCACTAAGATTGCCCGTCATTGTTCTAAAATAACAAATTCAGCTGTTACTTCGAACTTTGTTCTGTGTAGTACATGGAAAGTTCCCAGGCAACTTATCATAGCATCCATTGGCTGAGTACATGCAACACTCTGAACACCGAACCACCAGGCTAACAAAGTACAGTAATTGTGTTCCAGTAACAAGCTGTTTCTAAATGAATAAACCACATTAAGGCTTAACATGATTGCTTCGTTTTCAATTCCATTTTAGCTTTGGTTTCATCAGTATTTCTCTTTCACCAAAGAAAGGGATTTTCTCTTCCTTCCTCAAAATGTCCTGCACGCTCATTTGTGCGCAGCCACCAACAAAGCCATCTCACACCATTGGTTATCCTGCTGCCCTGGTTCCTTTCTCTCTCTGCTGCAGCCAAAACATTCTCATTCTCTCTCTCTCTCTTTCTCTCTCTCTCTCACACACACACGCACATTTTTTTCCTCTTGGGAAAAAAAACCTGAGCACCTCCATCCTCTTTCTGACTTCCTTATAGAATTGTTCCAGTCCGCTTCTGTGTCCTGCCTGCTCCACAGCTGTGTGGCATGGAAGCAGACCTGGGTTTGAGAGACCTTCAGAGCAGCAGGCAACTGTGCTAAGGGACTCCCATTATCCTGATGTGGGTTGGGTTTGTTGTTGTTGAGGGGATTTTCTGTTGGTCCCTCCCACCAGGGGGAGGTGGCTGTTGCCTAGCAAAGAGCCCAGAACATGCAGAGGTGGGACTCCCAGAGAACAAAGGCAAATCTGCTGATATCTTCCTCTTTCTTCTCCCTTTCCCCCCTTTACTGGTTGGGCAGAGTACAGTAATACCTTGGCCTGCTGCCAGCGGATCACGTGACTCCAGGTTGTCTCCTTTGTATCTGCAGCAACGGGGCAGACTGCTCCAGCCGCTGTTATGAGGTAAGTCCCTTGCAAAAGCATGCAAGTGCTTTGTGTGTTTGGGGGGGGGAGGTGTCTTCTTTGGGGTGCGGATGAATCAGTCAACCTGTGGTCTGTACTGTATTGTTGCTATGTATCTTGCTATGTATCTTTCACTGAACTAGGCAGAGGAAAAGAAATCTGATTGTGTGATTTTAATAAGGAATAGGAGAAGGGTTCATGAGATTGAGCAACGCTTTCCCCTGCAGCGTCTGTAATCCTCTCCTTTGAATTTTCATTTGCAAACTTTCTTTGTACATCTGGATAAAATACATGTCGTACTGTGTGTGTGTGAAAGTCTGCCTGCTTTTGTCGAACAGCATGTTTCCAGCTTGTTTCCTTGCCCCACTCTCCTTCCAGCTTGCTTTAGATTTCAAGTATATATAAAGAGTTAAATATGCTCTAGCATGGATGAATAGTTCAAAAAAACCTGTTATTTTGGAGTAAGACCTAACAATTATATGTTTTCCAGAGATGTTCATAAAGATGCATGTTAATGTCAGAATCTAGAATTGGAAGTAGGAACATTTCTAAGCATGTTGAACAATTAACTATCACAAACCCTACCACTAAGTGTTTGCCCCCAAATCTCCTCCTACTTAGAGAGTAATGGTCCTGCTTGGAGTTTTTGCCTGTGGAATAGGGTTCAGGATTTGCCACCACCATTCTCCTTCTCCTTCTCCCTTTCCCCTCTCTAAATTGTATTTCTATTTATTTAAACAGAAGTTTTCTAATGCAGAGATTGCCCCCCCCCCAAAAAAAGTTTCCCCTGTACTTTCTATTACTTTACTGGAACCATTCATTCCTATTCTTGTTCGTTCATTCTGGATCTCTGTAATCTCTGGAAAGGAAGTCTGATTCCTACAGTTTCCTCTATGTTTTTAAATGACAGTTAAATCAGCCTTGTTGATTCTTGGAGCTATGGGGGTGGTGGGAGAATGTCAGTTTTGACGTAACTGCCATCTTTACCTCCATCTGCTCTTCCCAATGACATACTGTGTTCCATATCACCTTTTTTTTTTTTTACAAGGATGTGCAGTCTTCAAGTATGGTGGGAATTTCCTTCTTTCCCGCTTTTCAAATGAAAAGGTTAAATGGGAACAAGATCTTTATCCATAATATCACATCATTGACTTAATCTTTCAGAATCTATCTAAGTAAGCCTGTGATCTCTACTAACCCTTTCTTTCTTTTTCCTTAAATGGAGGTAATACTGAAAGATTATGTCCACTATGGTGTACCCCAGGGAGGAGAAAATGGACAAGCTAAGCCAAGAAGAGATTATCTCCAACACTAAGCTGGTGATGCAAGGGCTGGAGGCCCTTAAGAATGAGCATAACTCGATCTTGCACAGCCTACTGGAGACGATCAAGTGTCTGAAGAAGGATGAAGAAGCCAATCTAGTACATGAGAAAGCCAACCTGCTACGCAAGTCAGTGGAGATGATTGAGCTGGGACTTGGAGAAGCTCAAGTGAGTTACAGTTTGTACATGAATCAAACAGAAGCAACCAAATATAGACAATAATACATAAGGATTCATATATGTTGTCTAGGACAGTGATTAATAAGCATGCTTACTAAGTAAACACAGTTATGTGCACATGCTGATGAAGATTCTCAGTCATCCAGGTGGAATTATCTGGAGGTTGAGTCATGGCAACTGGACTTCTTTTCTTTTGGTTAGGTATTGCACATGCTGATGAAGATTCTCAGTCATCCAGGTGGAATTATCTGGAGGTTGAGTCATGGCAACTGGACTTCTTTTCTTTTGGTTAGGTATTGCACATGCTGATGAAGATTCTCAGTCATCCAGGTGGAATTATCTGGAGGTTGAGTCATGGCAACTGGACTTCTTTTCTTTTGGTTAGGTATGTTTCTAGATACTTTCTAGACTGAAGAAGCTGCTTGGACAAGCAGCAAAACATATCTTACCAAAAGAAAAGAAGTCCAGTTGCCATGACTCAACCTCCAGTTATGTGCATACCACTCATCTTTGAAGTGCAGAACAGTCAAACCACTAGGCGTAGAACAAGTTGGCAAATATTGGATTTTCTGAGTGCAGGTTTTTAGCTTTATGATTGTATGGATAGAATTGAAACCTGTATACAGTAATTGAAACTTGGTTATGAGGGGAGAGGACTTCTTTGGGTTTCTACTTCTTGCGCACCTGCCCAAGCACTGGCTCCTTTTCCCTTTTGATTTAGGAAAAGTGGAATAAATTGTGCAAAGTAGCAAATATATGTGTCTGTTTGAACTAAGGACATCAGTATGTCAGTGGTTTAGCTTTTGCAAATGCAGATTGTGGGCAAATGAGGTATGTGTCACAGCTTTAGCCAGCCATGCACAATCCTAGGCATACAAAGCTGATATGAATGAGATGAAGCATCAAATCATATTTGTTGTTCCTTTCTTCCTTTTCTCTCTGACAACATTGTTCTTCTTTTCTTTTTTCCAAACAAAAGATTGGAAGAGGCATCCAAGACAGTGTATGCTGCACAACATTGGATAATGGCCCAAACTCTTACATTATTTTATAGAGTTCAAAAACTGATTCTTTATTCAATTCTACCTTTGGCTTATTCCAAGACCATAGGAAATGTGGTCAGTACATTTTGCCTATGGGTCTTGGAATGGTCTTTGGTGTTTTGTTTTGTTTTTCCTCTGAGACTGGGAAGTTTGACAAAAGAACCATCTCTCAAGACAGACATTTCTCCCTTCTTCTCTTGGGCCAGGTCATGATGGCTCTGTCAAACCACCTGAATGCTGTGGAGTCCGAAAAGCAGAAATTGCGGGCCCAGGTGCGCAGGCTCTGCCAGGAGAACCAGTGGCTACGGGATGAACTAGCAAACACTCAGCAGAAGCTGCAGCGCAGTGAACAAACTGTGGCACAGCTTGAAGAAGAAAAGAAACATTTGGAGTTCATGAACCAGCTGAAGAAATATGATGAAGATGTATCCCCATCGGTAAGAATCTGTAGGGTATAGAATCTGTGCTTATTGGAAGCTTCCTCACACAAAATAAGCTAGTAATAATCAGCTTTCTCAGAGTTCCTAATAGTATCTGCCATTTTGAGTTTCCCTTCGCTGGGCATGACAGGCACATGTCACCTACCCTTGTAACTGGGGAAGTTATCTTTCTGGGAAAGAGAACATTTTAATGGATTTGCATCAGTAAAAAGTGTTGGAGATAAAAACCTTGCAGTAGTAATGCATTATGATCTCTCTCTCTCCCCCCCACCCCTGCTTCTCTTTCTCTTGGTGCCTTTTCATATCAACATTTCAGGAGGAGAAGGAAGGCGATTCCACAAAGGATTCTTTGGATGACTTGTTTCCAAATGAGGAAGAGGATCAGGGACAAGGATGTAGGTTTCATTCTTCCACTCTTCTTATGGGGAGAGCAGATGCAAATGCTATATGAACTGCTTTTGACTTTGCCTTCTGCCAAATATTCCATCTGACTGAAAAATTAAGGACACAAAGGAGTGGCAATCCCTATGTGTATGAATAAACCATAATATAGCATTGCATGCTGTGCTTCTTTGTTTATTCATGTGATGTGTGTTTGCAGTGCCTCATCAACACAGCAGTGCCGTAGCAGCTGCTCAGCAAGGTGGTTATGAGATCCCAGCACGCTTGCGTACACTACATAATCTGGTGATCCAGTATGCATCACAGGGACGTTATGAGGTAGCTGTGCCTCTTTGTAAGCAGGCCCTGGAGGATTTGGAGAAGACTTCAGGACACGATCACCCTGATGTGGCCACCATGCTCAACATCTTGGCCTTAGTATATAGGTGAGCATTGAGAGATAGAAGGTACCTGCTTCTTGTGGATATGGAACAGCATCTCAGGAACAGAAATGAAAGAGGAAGTGTGAGAGAACTCAGTGTAGTGAACCCCTATTGTGGAAACCTCTATTAAGGAAGGGGATGTTATGTCTATGCAATGTAATCTCTCTACTTTTATGTCATGTTTATATAAATTGTCCTACTTTTAAACTGTATCTGTATCTAACATTTTGTTGCAGGGATCAAAATAAATATAAAGAGGCAGCTCACCTGTTGAATGACGCATTGTCTATTAGAGAGAAAACTCTTGGCAAAGACCACCCTGCAGTAAGTGGTTATTATTCCTTTTACTTTAAGAAGAAGGAAATATCTGAATAGATAGAAGCTGAAAGGTAATCATGTCATTGCCTGATCAACTCTTCTGATTCCCAGGCTAATGCAGCTTTTAGCCATGATAACTCAGGATGATGGGAATAATATATCTGGAGGGCACCATATTGGAGAATGCTGCTCCTGTACACAGACAGACACAAATACACCCACACCCACACACAGACACACTATAAACTTTATAAATAAATACAAAACTTCTAGGAAGGGAATCTGGCCAAGCTTTAATGGAGTATATCTGCCTATAAGAGGCATTAATGAAGATGCACAGCTTTAAGGAAGAAAAGAGAAAGAATGAAGAAGTACCTCTGACTTTTCACTGGAATGGAGCAAACTGAATCAAAACTAATTGTCTGTAGCTTTGTTTTCTGAACAGTAAGGCAACATTTGGCAAATAGCTTTATAAGGAAATCCAAGCATGATACTACAGTAGTGACATTTGGGCCCAAATGTATATATCAGTGTTTTATTTTATATAATAATATCAGTATACTTGTTGCTTTACAAATTGTTGGCAAAAGAAATATATAGCTGAATGGAGCAGCATTTCTTGAAATAGTAGCCTGCTGAGAAACGGTGTCACAATTAGGGCTCTGTTTCAGATATCCAGTTATAGCTGGCCAATATTGCCAGCTATAACAAATTAGCTTTCTAAGGAATATCACTGTTTATGCCCAGTATTTGTGTTTGTGCTTTGATTTTTCCTTGGTTCTCATGCAGTTGTACCCATGTCTCTGTGCAGGTTGCTGCAACCCTAAATAATCTGGCTGTTCTCTATGGCAAAAGAGGGAAATACAAGGAGGCAGAACCATTGTGCAAGCGTGCGCTGGAAATCCGAGAAAAGGTATCTATTTCTTTCAGAAGCTTGAAGGAGAAAGGCTTAGACCATGGGGTTGCTAGCTAGTGAGACTATACAGCAGCTTTCACTGCTAGAGATTTCCACAATAGATTCCTGTCTCAGAAAAGGAGAATATTTTGGATGAACTACATCCAAATGTTGTTGGCTACAAATGTAGAGGCTAATGTGGAATAATATGTCAAGGAAGCTATGTATTCAAAATTGAAGTTTCTAATGATATTCCATGATGCAGTTTCCCCAGGAAAAATATTTTTTTCAGAATCCTCAGAACTTTATAAACTATTCTTATTTGCTTCATTTTCAGGTTTTAGGCAAAGATCACCCTGACGTGGCCAAACAGTTAAATAACTTGGCTTTACTATGCCAAAATCAGGGCAAGTATGAAGAGGTAGAATATTACTATCGCCGAGCGCTGGAGATCTACGAATCCCGCCTAGGGCCTGATGATCCAAATGTTGCTAAAACAAAGAACAATCTGGTGGGTCCATTTGCTGATGTGAGAGCTGTGGAGGCAAATGGTTATCTGAGATGAGGAGTGACTGGCTATGCAATCCATTCTTGCTGCTTTTATAACAATATGCCTTGTATTCTGCCAGGCCTCCTGCTACCTGAAACAAGCCAAATACAAGGATGCAGAGACCCTGTACAAGGAAATTCTCACCCGTGCCCACGTGAAGGAATTTGGCACTGTTGATGGTACGTACAACAAAGAACAAGGAGGCAACATGTACAAAGAGACCGAGTGTTAGAAGGAAATTGAGATCTTTAAATGTTAATTATGAAGGGTTCTGAACATCCCATAATTCTTGTTAGGATAGGTATGTGTAGAAAAGAGAACTTCTTGGAAGAAAGCTAGGATAAGTATTCATAAATAAATGAACTACTGATCTGTCCTGTTTTTGGTACATGGAAATAGCACTGTGTTTCTGGATTTGATCAAGAGCCTATTTTTCCTTTGGACACATTTTGATAAGAAAAAGACACACAATCTGTTAAGACTTTTCATTAGTGGTGAAGTTTACACTGCCTAATCTCTTGTAGCTTGTTTAACAAATCTTTGTTTGTTTAAATTTAAGGTGAAAGAGATCTAAAAGCCAATGTATCAGTATATTTTTACCCTGATCATAATATGGTGGAGGGTTCCTGCAAATACCATTAGAATACATGTAGAAGCATTCCCCCCTCTTCTTATCTTTTCTCTACAGATGAACACAAGCCTATATGGATGCATGCAGAAGAAAGGGAGAAAATGAGCAAGGTGAGGAGAAGAGCAGTGCTCTCACAGACATTGCAGTGCCAACCTAAACCATCGAGTGGCTGAAGAAACTCCCAAATGATTATTGGGAATAGTTTTAGGTCAGAAAAAAGCTAACTGGAAAGAGAGACATGAGTCATATAGTAAAATTATGCATAGTATAGAGAGACAAAAACCCTCTCTCAAAACACATAAGAGCCCAGGGTTATCCAGTTAAGCTGAATAGGTACAAGACAGATAAAAATAATCACTTCTTCCTATTGTGCTTAGGTAATCTCGCTGTGAGAGTCCCAGTTCCAGTGGGACAGTAGAGCTAAATGGGGTTACAGGTATGCCTTTTGTCAGCTTCTGTTGATATGCCAACCACATCCCTTCCTGGGAGAAAACTAGCACAGCAGTCAGATTGATCTATGGAAGAACTCTTCAAGATACCACATTACCCTTGTGTCAGAAGCACTGCACAGGCTGCCAGTTTATTTCCAAGGCTACTGGGGAGAATGCTCCTTGTCTGTAGGATTCCCCATCCTCTAAGAAATCACAATTGCCACGGGTGTGTTTGATGGCTAAATCTTTTCGGTAGCCATTCCAAGTCTTTGGAATGCACTGCTCGATGAATAGAAGGACCTAACATCTTTGCTTTTCTTTGAAAAAGGACACAAAACTACATTTTTAAACATGTAAAAATTTATTTGTATTTAATAACTAAATATAAGATACAGTGTCATAAGATAAAGTGTTGATAATCAGCAAATAGGATGATTTCTGAAAAGATTACACAAATTCATGGAGAAAGTAGCCGTTAATAACAGTAGATATATGTTATCTTCAGGGTCAGAGGCAGTAGGCCTCAATACCAGTCCTTGGGAAGCAAAAGCATAAAGATAGCATTCTCCTTTTGTGGAGGTATAGGCATCAGATTGTGGGAACTAAATACTATGCTATATAGGCCTTTGATGTGAACTAAGATGGTGTTTCCTATGTTTTTCCAGATTCTATGGTGTGCACTGAAATTGTTTGTCCTATTTTTCCTGTGCCTTGCATATTTTCTCTTGTTATAGTGGATTCCTTAGGACGTACTGGAGAATGGACGATGGATTTCAGCAGGTTCTGGGCCACAGACGTTTCAGAATCAGAATGCTAAAGCTTGCTGTTTTGAAGGGCCATTTGGCTGATCAGGAAAAAATAGTTGCTTGAGCCCCAAATCCATGATAAGAGGAATGGGAAGAAGCTACGGTCTTCTACATCACTACTACCTTCTCCTGAGCACCCACTTCTTTAGACTTCCCAGATTTAGAAAAGTCAATTATTAATATTTCCCTAGATTGGAAGGAGAGAAGGATAAATTGAAAAGCCTCTGCATACTAGAGCTACAGCAAATCCAAAGTCCTTGGGTTCAAGCTTCTGATGTAGTGAATAATGGCACTTAGCTCTTTTGGAAAATCTATACAATCTGTAATCCATTACTAAGAATAGGACAGAAATTTGGTAAACCTCTGGGACATTTTGGACTAAGGTGCTGAATACATCGTAGCAGTTCACAAGCAGGGTGGCTTCATTCTCTGTTTCTGTCTAGTGGAGTTTTTATTTTGTTCATCTAAGCTAGTGACTGATACCTGTTTCCAATAGTAGAGAAGAGTAGATATCTATTTCCCTGGGTTTTAGTACTTTAGTTAGTTTCCCAAACCATTGCTATGGCTATAACTGCTACAAGGAATTAGCACTGTTTATCCTGTTGGTATCCATATGTTAAAATGTCCTTTTGTGAAATAGGTTGTTTAAAAGGGGTGAAAAGGACTACATATGAATGTGCATGCATGTGTGAAGTGGTACTAGTTAAAATATGTCAGCTGTTCCTAATTTCTGCCTGTCAGTCAATTGTTACTACTCTCATTGGGGACATCTGCTAACTTGGATACATCCCATCTGCTGACTTGGATACAAAAGCTGACTGTACCCATAGGATCATGCTGAGAAATCTCTGAAATTAAGAACTCTTCTTGAAATATTCTTAGTTTTTTATTGGTTTTCCCTAAATTATGAGTGGAAAAAGACCTCACTCTTCTTCTCTGACATGTGTGAGAATTTTCCTGATACCAAAAAATGGCACTTTTAAATCAGAAACCTTACATATATTTTATATTTCAAATTTGTCACTGCCCATCTCACTCCTGAGTCCAAGGGACTGGTTTGGGCTCCTTTGATTGTGTTGTGTGATTTTATACATTTGCCATTTTGAACTAGCAAGCATTAATTTATCTTCTAATCATTTTAATCTCAGGTACTTTTGCTTCTATCAAACTTTTATCTCTTTCAATTTTTCAAACTCATGGAAAAAATGCCTACATGAAAGATGGTATTGACACCTTCTTCCTGAATACTGGTAATAGGATTTGCAATTGTATGTCATCCAGAAAGCAAACTGGGTGACTTGATAAGGAGAGGAATCTGGTATCCTGAATTCATAACTCAAATGACCTGACCTCTTCTGACTCCTTCCAATGTCTTCTTCACTATAGCGCCTTTTCTCTGTTATGGCTGCTCTGATTTCCCAATTACTCTGCTGGACTATGGAGGAAAAGACCCTATTGTAGATCTTTACTCTTCCTTAACTTGGCAAATATTTTAGGTTAGTCACTGAGGTACAATTAAGGGAGCAAATGTGATAGCCAGTCCCATTGTTATGACTATGTTATGACATTAGACCTGTCCATTTAGCTCACTGTTTTCTGATTGGCAATGACTCTCCAGAGTTTTGGGCTGGCAGAAGTCTTTCCCATCAATTGTTACATGATTCTTTAACAGATACATATGGGGTCGCATCAGTTTCAGTTTCTATCTGTTCAGACATTTCCTTCTTCTTAAAGTAAAAAGGAATAATAACCACTTGCTGCAGGGTGGTCTTTGCCAAGAGTTTTCTCTCTAATAGACAATGCGTCATTCAACAGGTGAGCTGCCTCTTTATATTTATTTTGATCCTGCAACAAAATGTTAGATACAGATACAGTTTAAAAGTAGGACAACAATTTATATAAACATGACATAAAAGTAGAGAGATTACATTGCATAGACATAACATCCCCTTCCTTAATAGAGGTTTCCACAATAGGGGTTCACTACACTGAGTTCTCTCACACTCCCTCTTTCATGTTACAGTATTTATCAGTAGGATTATGCAACACTTTGAACTAAATTGTGAAGAGTTGCTTTGGAAGCCTCCCTGCAAGAGCTGCATAAACCTCAAAAAAAGGCAAGGCAGCCCTTTTGAGCTCAGAAGTTAAGATTTATAAGCAACAGACTCACTGCCTGTCACAAATGAATATAGGTTCTCATTTGTTGAAGCTTAGTAAAATGCTAAATAAATCCGTCCTTGGAAAGAGGTAACACATGAAAAAGATTTAGCAATTAGAGGAAGATCTTCAATTAGATTTATGATTTTCTATTTATCTTGCTTTGTAGAATGTGTTTCTGAATAATATTTATGGAAAGAGACAAAGAAATGCAAAAGTCAGAGTTTAATACTCATCCATTTGTCTACCTAAATCAGTACCCCTGTGTGATATAAACAACAAACTTTCCAGCTAATAACTTTTTTTTTTTAACAGCTAGGTTACATCACTTTTCCTTAAACACAGAACTGAGCCGGAGCACTCCAGCATGACAACACAAAAAATATTTCCAAGCAGTGGAGAAAAGTTAGATTATATGTTGTTATTGGAATAACAGAGTTTCACTTAATGTATTTATTCAGTTTCCATTGTCTTGAATGTCTTCTCCCACTAGACTACTTGATTTTTTTTTTGTTTCTTTTGTTTTGTTTCATGCTATTAAAAGGCATAAAACCCATCTTACTAGAGCATTGCTTTTTTCACATGTTTTGTCACATTTAATCCATATAGCCTAGTGATGTCATTGATATGATGTAGTCCCAAACAGAACTAAATTCCATCAAACATGGTTGAATTTACTTCCATGTAAGTGTGAAAGGATTGGATTTCTGTTCATTGCCTGTGGGAAATTGGGGATTGTAGAAATAGAATATGGATAGCTAGTTACCATTCCTGTTGGGATGTTACATACATAACCTTGTGGGTTTTTAAAATTATATTTTTATTAAGCTTTTTTTAAAAAGAGGAAAAAAGATATAAGAGGAGAAAATAAAGAAAAAGCATGTAGTGAATAAACAGAATTTACAAGTATCATAGAATTAGGTTATTTTTTTCAACATTTTATTAATTGGTTTTAAATAACTAAATACATTGTTTTGAAAACTACAAGTTGTTTTATAATCCAACAAAATATCAACGGCAGCGGTCAACACAGTGTAAATCATAAAGCAAGATTAAAAATTACAGTAAATTCTATCCAAGTTACTGAAGATCTATTCTGATGTAAAAAGTCATTTAGAATATTAACACTTTGTTAAGAGAAACCCAAATTTCAGATGTGGTACAAGCCCATAACTAGAAGTATATATAGAATGGTTTCCAAGTTGAGTGAAATTCTCAGATTTATTTTTGAGATTACAAAATTATTTTGGACCTTGAAGCATATTCTCACAACTTAATTAACCATTCTTCTGCAGAAGAAATTATACGTATTTTCTAGTAGGAAGTATGGAGTATCCTCGCAGCAGTTGCCGTGTGCAATGCAAGTTCTGAATACTTTGTGGAAATATAAGGTTTAGTGATACTTAATTTAAAAAATAGGTTGAAAGGAAATTCAGCTTTTAGAATTTGTTTCATTCTAGTATAAATCATTCACCAAAATTGCTGAACTTTACAACATTGCCACCAAATATGAAAAAAATGCTCTGAGCTGGCTGTTACATTTCCAATAATTTTTAGAGAATGAGCTGTCCATTTTAGCAATCAGGACTAGACTAATGTAGCAGTGGTAAAATGTCCTTTAGCAATTTCTCTTAGTATTCAGTGTAAAGTTTTTCCCCCCACTAGAATTCCCATTGTTGCATATAAATTACTGTATCTATACTCCTTGCAGTTATAATCTTGGAAGATTGTTGGTATTGTGAAGCCACTGAATTGGAAAACAGAAATCAAGAGGGGAGAAAGAATTATCTGTATTGCAAACAATGTCTGAGTGTCAGTTCCTTGCCCTCTCTTTGCAAACAATGTTCTGGTCTTGCCTAAGAACAGCCTTGTGTTCTCAGTCAGCAATGACTAAGGCTGAGTATCATTGAAAACTAGTTCTCCTTCCTCAAGTGACAATTTCCTTTCCTTCCAGTCTGCCCTGGAACCGTGCCCTAATTGCACGTATCAGGCTGCAAATCTATCTTGGTGTCCTGTGCAGAAATTTACAGGCACTGATCTGCCTTTACAACTATAGTGCTTGGCCTACACAGGAGTGGCTGAAAATTATGTTACTTTATGTGAGAAAGCTGTGAGAACCTATTTAAATTGTGTGTATATAAAAAATGTTCATATGTCATCATACATAATCAAAATAAAATATCTGATTCTGGATAAAATATTTTACCTGTCCTGAAGACTCAGAAAGCAGCAAAGGGAAACACATATAGAGTTAACTGCAGGCTTTAAATGAGAATAAAACAGGACACAATAAAGATGACTTTTACTCATTGTTAAATATTCTCTTTGTCCCAGCAAGGGGGAGGACATATAAAACTGGTTCCTGTTCCTACTGGGCTTATAACAGGCTCAAAAATGGAATCTGACATCTAGGCTTGCTGGCAAAACCTAATTTACTTAGTAATTTACCTAATATGTGCATATCAGAGTACATACATTATATAACATCCCAGATCCAATCCCTGGCAACTCCATATAGGACACTCTGAAGAACCGCTGCCAATTTCTTATCAATAACTGAGCTAGATAAAAGTATATGGCAGCTTCCTGTGTTTCTAACTTATCTCCCCAATACATCTGGCATGTTTTTCAGCATTACTCTAACCGGCTTAGAACCTCCAGTTATCAGGAAATCACTTTGTCTGAGGGCATTTTAAAAATCAAAGCTGTAAGCTATGGAATTAATGACTGAATTGGAGTCCTTGGCTAGGTTATTCAGAAAAAGCTAAGGGTACAAAAACCTGTCAGTGATTTAGGTACACTTACAGTGGAAAGTTGCTGCATGCAGGAATGTTATGCCCAGAGTTCACTCTTACATGCAGCTATGTGTGTCTTTAGCCTAAAATCCCACAAGTTTCTCAACCAACAATGTGTCTGTGGTAGAGCAGAAAATATTCTCATGAAGTGTTTTTATATGCAGAAACTGAAAGAACTGTCTTTGTTTTAAGTATCAATTTATGCCACACAGTTTACTAATTTAAGGGGGGGAAACTCTTCTTTAGGCAGTATCTCTGCTCTCCAGTACACTCCTATTACAAATGAGCTTAATGATCAAATTCTGTGCCAACTCAGAGTGCATCAAATACTTATTTTTAACTTCGTAGGTCTGTTTTCAAAATTGGGATTTTGCTACAAATCAATATTTGTAGTATCTCATAGGACACTTTTCTGGAAATTTAAATCCTGTCATGCTGACCTCTGGAGAACACTTCCCATGCCATTTGGCATGGAGCTGGCTGGGAGCTCTTGCTGTGGAGCGCTAAGTACGTCAGGAAGATGTTCCTTATCTACTTAGTCAAGTCATAGGAGAACTAACTTGCAAATAACTCTTTTTTCTTCTGGGATCAAGGTGGAGTCCATCCTTGGGGCATATTCATACTATCATGCTTATACAAGTCCATTAGAGTGATCCCCAACCTGATGCTTTCCATATGTGTCAGACTTCACTTCCCATAATTGCCACCCATGCTGGCTTTGGATTATGAAAGGTGAAGTCCAGCACAACAGAGGGCTCTAGATAAGGAAAGGCTGTTCCTTATAGTTGGAAAACAGTAGAAGAGCCTATATTGCTACCAAGTGCTAAACAAGCGCATTATTGTTTTTGGATACTCTTGTTCTTGGGTGCTAGTGCTTTGATTGTTCTAAGAAATCTTCCCCTGTTGCCAAATTCTCTTCCAGAGTAAACATGGAGAAAACATCCCCTATGCAGAGTATGGTGGCTGGTACAAGGCCTGCAAGGTTAGCAGGTAAGTCCTGGTATTTACTCATGTTTCTAAACTCTCTTTTATGTTATTCTGGTTCTGGTTCTTGTGGATGTAACTCCTTTGTGAGTTCCACATTTGTTCAGTAAAGGAATGTGCAAATGTGACAAGAAATGTGAAGGCAGGGGAAACATTTCTATAGGCTGGTAAGGATGGAAAGCTCTATACACTTTGTGCTGCAAATCCTTGGAGGGGGGATGACAGAGGGTGCCCAGTAAAGCTGTTTTATAGAGCAGCCTCCATCCTCCCCGCCTTCAGGTGCTGCCTCTCTGGTATGTACCTTCTCTTGATGTGCATACATGCATGGATTTAAATCCTTCTGATACAGAGTGAAGAGAGAGAGATTGAATTGTTTTGTAAGACCAATTGAATCAAAAAACCCTGGGCTCAAAAGGAGTGCAAAAAAAAACTCTTAGGAGAGATCTGCATGCAGAATGACAGAGCTCCTTTGACTTCATATCTTGCCCCTCCTATACCCTACTGACTAGTCAGCATATTGGGGGAGGGGGTGTTTTTAATATAGGACTGTTGCTCTCCTGTGTTTAAAAAAAAATGAAAAAAATTATCTCTCATCTGCAATGGAGCTTCTTCCTACTTCTTCCATGCACCTTCTATGCCCCACCAATGGGCAGCAGTCTTTTTTTTAATAATAATAATTTCATTAAATATGTTATACAGATAAAACTAATACAATCTACATAGTATAATATATATATAATTTTTAAAAAATAAGGTTCAGAAAAAGAAGAAAAGAAAAAGAAGAAACATCTCCCTTCATCCCCAGCAAATATAATCAATAACAGCTCATCACCACCTCTTAAAATAAAACCAACCATCTCTTCATCCCATATCCCACCCCATTCTCTATAAACCAATCTTTAAAGCCTCATCCCTCCCTCTCAATCAGCAAAAGTCCATTAAGGGTTATCAGAAATAACAACATAACTATTATAAACTACATTTAATAAACCCAGTTTGAATCCTTCCTTTTACATTTATATCTCCTTTTTTATTTAAACAAATCCCCCTATCTCCTCTTTTCAAATAAACAAAACCTTTAAAACATCGGGATCTGGTCCTGGTCAACAAAAATCCATTAAATGTTATCAAAGATAGCAACCCATTTATTTTAGCCTTGATGAAATAAACCAATTTTATATTCTTTTCTCTTTCTCCCAACAATCTTTAGTTCCCTCAAACAAAATCTACAACAGTCTTGAGTAGTCAGTGGCAGCTCAGTAGATCCCCACCTGACCACATCATGAACCATATCATCAGTTAAGTGTTATAGATTGTCCATATGGCAAGACTGGTGTCAGGATGGGAGGGAATCCACCAGTTTTATAGTAGAAAATCTAAAGATAACTTTAAGTTGTCCACACAGTAGGCTGGGGATATGATGGAGCTGTATCATAATGGCATGCCCCTTAAAAACAGTTATCCAATCATCTTTGTTCCATGGAAGCAGGATGTGAGACTGAGGTCTGCAACAAGTAAGAATTGCCATCATTAGTTTATTAACTCAAAAGGCTATTGGGTCCAGATAGGGCTGTCACTGTCCTTACCTCCTAGCATCCATGTCCTGGGGCAGTCACCTCATTCTTCCTAATAGCTGCTTTGGCCATTAAAAGGCATACTGCAGGTAATGCAGCTAGCACATAGCCCTGGCGGGAACATCTTAAGCCAAATGTGTCTTCTTGGGATTGTGCATCAGCTGCAAGGGCAACTGTATGAGTGCAGGAAAAGATGCCACTGCGTAGTGTCCTACATGCATGCTCACACACATTCTGAATCACATTTTGCCCTTCATGCAAATATAATTGTAGGGTCTCTATACACTGGAAGATTCATCATTAAAGACAACTTCGGTTCTAGTGATCAAGTTACTGCAAAGTTAAAGAATGACTGTTAATTTC